ATTCTAATCAACTAATCTATATCAAATAATATCATAATAATAATCTTGTAATAATAAAGTTATATATATATACAGGGTGTCCCAAAATTCGAGAATGATAAGATTGCAGCATAAAAGTTTGTAAAAAATTAAATAATCAAGCGACGCGGTAGCGTCGCGACGCCAAGTATATGAAAAATAAAATATTTGCGACTTTGTATTCCAAACAATAGTTTTGAGACATAAGAACTTAAAGTGATCAATCACAGGCTACGTTTTAGACGATTGCCTGTTCGTGAATCATACGTGTGTCACTAATACTAGCGCACATGCGGCTCATAAACAGGCGAATTTCTAAATATAGCTTGGCCAACTTTAAATCTTTATATTTCAAAAATTATTACTTGGAATAAAGAATAGCACGCACTTTTATTATTCAATTTTTCACAAACTTCCATACTGCAATCTTATTATTCTCGAATTCCGAGATACCTTGTATATACATACATAAAATAAAATCCTTTACAATAGTATATGTTTAAGACTAAAAAATTTCATATTTTAATATTATTTTAATCATTTTTATATCAAACAAAAATATAAAAATTACGTACAAGAAACTTAAGAGTTTCCATCTGCCATAACATGTATATTATTAGGAACCAAAAAAATTAATTTTGCATGAGCAATGCAACTCCATATTTCTGTTTGTGCAACTTCAAATGCATGTATATGTTGCGAAAATCTTAGTGTTTCTACATTTTGATAAACATAATAAACATATTGATCATTATTTATTATAATATATCGAATGAGACCAAACAAATGAAATATACCATCTGTGTCTATTTCTACGATCATACCAGGTTTATATATGATTCCATTAATATTTAACCACGATACAGGAAAATAATTTTCATTAATATCTTCAGATAGTGCATTATCAAATACATGGAAGATTTTAAAACATAGATCAACTGCCGCTAGTGCCGTTGTAACTTGATATAATATACCTTATAAATGCATAGAATCCATTAATTTCTGCGAGAGTAACACCAACAACTATTATGTATGGCTGTATTGTCAATCCTAGACGTTGTGCTTTTTTTACTTTATCATCTTGAATGCGACTTATATCTCCAGGTATCTAAAATTGATTAATAATTTTTTCTATATTTATTTTATATTAATATATAAATTATTATTAATATAAATTAAAATAATATATAAATATGTAACATTTAATACCTTTGCATGTAATACAATGCTGTTTTTACATTCACTTATAGATGATTTGTAATGTTCTTGTTTTAAGCGAATTCTTCCTTTGGGAGGTATCAGATGAGGCAATAATAGAATTTGTACTATAACTTTAGCATCTATATAAAAATTAAAATTTGATAATTTAATGATTATATACACACACAAATACAAAAACGCACACATATAAACATACATATAAGCTATTATTTTTTTGTAAACTTACCATCTTTTACATTATCTATTTCAATCACAGAACGTAACTCATTTATTACTTTATCATCTTTAAAAGGACAAACTTCTTGAATCTTAGAAAAAAACTGAAACCAATTATTTATACAATCCTCTGATGTTAAATTAAGAAATGTAAAATCTTTATCGATCAAAGTATATGCTGTAGGATGCTTTAAAACTGGCCACTGAGAGAAAATTTTAGCTATGTTTTTATTTTGAGACGTTTGAATTTGATTCCCGTCTATATGCTAAAGTTGCTTTCCAATGATTTTCAACTAATTGCCATGGTGACAAATTATTCTGAAGCCATAATATGCTTTCACGAATTGTAGAGTCATCTGCACAAATAAATAAAGCAAATTTTTTTTTGATTATCTTAAAATAATCTTTAAAAAAAAAATTTTTTGTAAAACAATTAATTGTATGTGTATGTAAGTGTGTGTGTGCGCGCGCGCGCGTGCATGCATGTGAGAGAGAAAGAGAAAATATGTTAATATAATATATGGTAAATTAATATAATATAATATAATATAATATAAATATAAATATGAATAAATATTGGAATAATTTAATATATGAAAAACATTTCAGATACCTTCTAATTCACTGTTATATGGTGTTGAAGTTGATGTGGAACTACATTCTGTTAAACTATATCCTGTTAGTTTCCTATAGTCCCGTATTTTATTTCTATATTTGTCAACAAGTTTATCACGAGATGTTATTGATTTATTATTTCTTGAATACTTTTTAGCTATAGGTGGAACGTAGTAAGTGCTACATGTTTCCGTTGGAAACAGTTCTTCAATCTCCTTAGATAACGAATCAAAATCTTCATTTTTCAGTGGCCTAAAAAAATAAAGATTTTTATATATATTAATATATAAATAGTACATTTTCAAAGCATTTGTTATAATGTATTATTTCTATAAAGAAAAATGTACCCATGAATTTTATTTAAAATTTCAGATAAAATGAGATCTACAATAGTACTTCGGCATTTTCTGCTTAATGTTTTACGCCTTTCATATGATTTTAAAATAGCACGACCTTGTGCAGTCAACTTTAAAATATTTTTAACAGATGGTCGCTGCAATTTTCTAAATACTGAAGATCCAATGGAACAATTTTTTTTATTAACAAAATTTTCTTTATTATCTCCTTCATTATTGATCTCTTCATCAGATGAAGTATATATACTATGCGTAGTATTTAAATTAGTATCCTCATTTTGTTTCTATAACATTTTATACCAAATATATATGATTAGATTCTATACATCATTAAACATTGATTAAAAAATTTACAATTAAATGTATACCTACATTTGTTACATCTTCAACTTTATTAAAATGTTCTTGCCATTTTTTACTAAATTTAATTCTAAGGCTAATTTGCGGAATTAATTCTTTAATTAAATCTGATGTCAAATTTGCTATGGAATCTTTATCAATGCAATTTTCTGTAAGTAAATGCATGTACATATTCAACTTCTGTAAGAGTGAATCTGTAAAAGTTGCTTATAAAAGTAACAACTTTGAATTTATTTTAATACGGATTATACATTTCTAAATTGTAATTATTAAACAAGATATTACTTACCTTCGAAATGTTTGATGAGAATGTCTAAATCCCAAGATTTTAACAATTCCTTCGAATAATTATCCATCACAACACAATATTTAATATGCAGAATGACGAAACGTTCAGAAATGTGAACATACGTAATAACACACGCGAGGAATACACGCGAAGAATGATCGAGAAATATGGACATGCACGAAACACGTTACAACACGCACAATACGCACAGCACATACGATAAATAGAATCATTGGATTCGGCGCATGGCGCTTCTCTGGGCGCGTTCCACTTAACGACCGCAACGCTCGCAAGCATCATCTGTCTTTGTTTAACTTTCGGTGAACAACAAGGATAAAATGATACCGTGAGCGTTGCGGTCGTTAAGTGGAACGCGCGCAGAGAAGCGCCATGCGCCGAATCCAATGATTCTATTTATCGTATGTGCTGTGCGTATTGTGCGTGTTGTAACGTGTTTCGTGCATGTCCATATTTCTCGATCATTCTTCGCGTGTATTCCTCGCGTGTGTTATTACGTATGTTCACATTTCTGAACGTTTCGTCATTCTGCATATTAAATATTGTGTTGTGATGGATAATTATTCGAAGGAATTGTTAAAATCTTGGGATTTAGACATTCTCATCAAACATTTCGAAGGTAAGTAATATCTTGTTTAATAATTACAATTTAGAAATGTATAATCCGTATTAAAATAAATTCAAAGTTGTTACTTTTATAAGCAACTTTTACAGATTCACTCTTATAGAAGTTGAATATGTACATGCATTTACTTACAGAAAATTGCATTGATAAAGATTCCATAGCAAATTTGACATCAGATTTAATTAAAGAATTAATTCCGCAAATTGGCCTTAGAATTAAATTTAGTAAAAAATGGCAAGAACATTTTAATAAAGTTGAAGATGTAACAAATGTAGGTATACATTTAATTGTAAATTTTTTAATCAATATTTAATGATGTATAAAATCTAATCATATATATTTGGTATAAAATGTTATAGAAACAAAATGAGGATACTAATTTAAATACTACGCATAGTATATATACTTCATCTGATGAAGAGATCAATAATGAAGGAGACAATAAAGAAAATTTAGTTAATAAAAAAAATTGTTCCATTGGATCATCAGTATTTAGAAAATTGCAGCGACCATCTGTTAAAAATATTTTAAAGTTGACTGCACAAGGTCGTGCTATTTTAAAATCATATGAAAGGCGTAAAACATTAAGCAGAAAATGCCGAAGTACTATTGTAGATCTCATTTTATCTGTTATTAAACATTACTTACCTTCGAAATGTTTGATGAGAATGTCTAAATCCCAAGATTTTAACATTTCCTTCGAATAATTATCCATCACAACACAATATTTAATTTGCAGAATGACGAAACGTTCAGAAATGTGAACATACGTAATAACACACGCGAGGAATACACGCGAAGAATGATCGAGAAATATGGACATGCACGAAACACGTTACAACACGCACAATACGCACAGCAGTAGTAATAGCCTGACTAATTTGGTATCTTTGTCAAGGAGACAAGCAGAGAGACAATAATATTATTAAATTGAATAATGTTATAGATTAAAGGCAGACAAAAGTGTCAGTTATATTTATATTATGGCTTTGAGACTACAAGTTTATATATAGTTCATATTTTACTTATTATATTATTTTTTCTCTTTTTATATTTTTTTATGCATTGAATTTTTTAGCATACACTGGAATTAGTAGCGTACCAAAACGAAAGCGGATCTTACAATTATTGATCGTAGTCTACTTAATACTTGATACTTTCTCATTGATTAAAAACATTATATATACATTTCATGTCATTATCAGAATGATCTGATCTTCTGGAATAGAAATTCCGCTTTTTGAATACGAAATTGTATAATACTGTATATTAGTTTCTTCCATTCTTTGATGAATAATACATAAATATTATTTTATTTCAATTATATATTTGAATAAGATATTATTGTATAATACTAAAATTGTATAATACTATTGTATATTAGTTTCTTCCATTCTTTGATGAATAATACATAAATATTATTTTATTTCAATTATATATTTGAATAAGATATAAAATAATCATTGTTATAAGCGAATAAAATATTTAGCTATTCTAAAAAACAATTAATTGTATATAAGCATAAATTATGTTATGTGGAAAATTAATTTAGTCGTTTTAATGAACATTTTGCTGCATGAACAAAATATTTAGTTAATAAACCTGATTAAATAAAATATATTTATTATTAATTCTATTATATCATTATTTATATATGTATATATATAATCACATAAATATATTCCGTTAAATCTGTTCAATTATATTATTTGGTTAACATAATAAATCATATATTTCCGCGAAGACTATGGTATAGTGGAATTGACAATAAATATATTTTATTTAATTAGATATATTAACTAAATATTTTGTTCATGCAGCAAAATGTTCATTAAAACGACTAAATTAATTTTCTACATAACATAATTTATGCTTATATACAATTAATTGTTGCTTAGAGTAGCTAAATATTTCATTCGCTTATGACAATGATTATTTCACCCAATACAGATAATCATTTTAAATAAATATAAATAATATTGAATTAATCCAATTCATTAATTTTATTATTTATTTTCTTCTGCATTATCGCTTATTTGAATTAATAGTAAATTGGTTAAGACAATAAGGTATATAATTCACTAAATTGAATGTGTCAACAAAATCATATTGTTCTCTCAAGTTATATGAATCAGTTAATAATACTGACGTATATTTGACTTAAATATTTAAATATTTCAACTAAAAAAATGATAACGAACTAAACGCGTTTAGTCATGTCAACACATTTTTTTTCTCAGTGTACATATACACAAACATATACACACATGTAGATAATATATAACACACATATAGTATGCTCGGATAAGAAAGAGATGGACAGAGAAGAATGGGCAAAGAGAGAAAGAAAATATGAGTGTAACTGAGCAAGTGTCTGTACAAGTGCCAAAAGTAAAAAAAAAAAGGAAATAGTTATATCTTTCTCCGTAACAATACTTTATGCTCACTAATGTCTAGTGACTGATGTGAATAATTATTAATCGATATATCGTTTTACAGTCATTCCCTCGCTTACTCATTCCTATTCTCTCTCTTTCTCTCTCTCTCTCTCTCTTCCTCTTTCTTTTTTGCCCATATCTGTCCATTTATTTATAACAAAAATACTATATGAGTATTAAATACTATGTGCATCATATATAATGTGTATGTTTATGTGTATAGAGTAGTCATTATAAATTCGATTTGAAGATCAATTTTATGTTACAATTTTTTATACAAAAGTCTTTATGTTGTTTTCTATTTAGGAATTGCTTTAAAGATATAATTAAAAAAAAAAAAATTTGGAATATTATATTTTTATATAATATTACATTATCGTATTTATATTTTTGTGTAGACTGCACGGAAATAAAATTAAATAATATCTAGCAACATATTAGTATATAGTATACATTAAAACAATTCCTTCTAAAATTATGGTATATAAATATACTAATCTTTTGACCCTTATTCTTTACTTATGGTAAATCATGTAATATATTCTATGCAGACACGATGTATATCAGAAACTACAATCCGTTTCACTATTATATACCTTGACTCCTAGATGTTTCTGTATATTTACATATATGTCGAAAGCGTATTGTGCGTGTAAGTTACATATTGTACAATACCAATATACACAGCATTATAACGATTTCGTATCATAACACAAACTGACATATTAAAAATGTTTGATAATGCTTAATAATGAAAAAATGCAACATTAATATTAATATTTTATTATTTAATATTTAATTTATGTATATTATGAGTTCTATACAGGGTGCGGCATTTATAGTGACGCGGGCATATTTTTCGGAAACGAAGTGAGATATCAAAAAATGTTTCAGACAAAAGTTGCATGGTTTCGAGGGGGCCACATGATAAAAATATGGATTTGACCTTGAGTGACCTTTTCAAGATGAGATCAATGTGATCGACGTTTTCTTAAATGGAACTCCCCTTTTTTTTATTACATATTCTTGTAGCTTACCTCGATAGCTTTCCAAAACACTATAATAAAGTATTTTTTCATTGAGTACTTTTTGAGTTATTTTATATTTTATTCTGACATATTTTGATATAAAAAATAAAATATCTCGTAAAATATTTAGTTTTCGATAATTTTACCGTAATACTTTTATGTACAGAATAATGAGACAAATCAATTAATATAAAAAAATAATTGTTTTTAAAAAAATTATTTACAATGTAATTTTAAAAACAATTATTTGTTTTTTTTTGCACTAATTATCTTGTCCCATTATTCTGTACATAAAAGTTTTACGGTAAGATTATCGAAAACAAAATATTTTACGAGATATTTTACTTTTTATATCAAAATATGTCAGGTTAAAATATAAAATAACTCAAAAAGTACTTAATGAAAAAATACTTTATTATAGTGTTTTGGAAAGCTCTCGAGGTAAGCTACAAGAATATGTAATGAGAAATAGGGGTTCTTATTTAAAAAACGGAAGTTGATCTTCAAATGACCTTGAACATGACCTTTAATGTCAATCCAAGGTCACTATTAGATAGCTCCCTTTGTTTCCTACAACTTTTATCCGAGTCGTTTTCCTTCAAACGTTGATCCTGAAAAGTTATGAGGGTGGAACTTTTAAAATGGGATACCCTGTATATAGTATAATAAATATACTAATCTTTTGACCCCTATTCTTTTTAAAGAAAGTCTGCGGGCAAAGAGGGGCAAGCATCTCTCGAAAATTATATTTTTGTCTCGTTACGTGGACACACACACTATTAAAACCACATTACAAAAACACAACACTCGTTTTTTAAATTCAACGCGTTATAACGCGTTATAACAGTTGAGCGTACTTTTGCGGTAATCTCTTGTTACGCGTATGTCAAGGGGACCCCGCAACATGGTACAAATGGATTTTGATGGGACTCAGGTATATTGTAGAGGTATTTTCCCTAAGTACCAGGCTAACGGGAATTTATGCACTACGGCTTGGTTCCCGAGAAAATCTACGGTAGAGTTTCACGCGCGGTATGTATACCAGTAACTGTGCTCCGTTGTCGAGCAAACGAGCGCGGCGCAGTAGGCAAGGTTCACGGCTGGCACGCTGCTGGCCCGTGTTCAAGTCCCGTCGGCGCGCGACTTTTTTTTTAGTAATTTTTTTTTCAATTCTTTTATTTTTTTTCTCGTTTACGTATCTAATCTTACTTAATATCAATAACAAACATTGCATTACAAAGTTGCGGGGAAAAAAATTGCTATACGTACGGTAGTAATTTCATTTATTTTATATTATATATACATGCAGGCGTTTCAATTATTCGCTATCACTGTGTACATCAGAAGAACAATCGTTTGGGTGGTATTTATCATAAAAGCACGCAAAGCATAACACGGTGTCACACCATGCACATTTTATGAAGCCTACCGCTTTGCAGACGCACGGCTGTTTCAAAAGTGAGATCGGGAAACAAAGCTCGTTTACATTCAAAAATATGTCTCTTTCGTCAATTAATTTTGATGCGAACCACAAGTATTTAATCATTGGCCGAAACGCAGGTGCGCTCAATTTATGCAAAAGTAAGGAATGAATTTTAATGGAATCCTCTCTGGAAGCGATTTCCCGATTTGCCTTTAACAGTTCAGGAGCGTTTTGCAATTTTTTAATGAAAATGTTTACCTGGCGGTAAAAATAGACATCGCACGGTTGGCAGAGCGGAGTACATTTCGGTGGAATTACTTTAACAGTACAGGTGCATGCCTGTTCGTCGTCTACGAAGATATTATCGTAGAGTGTCTGATCCGTCTGCCCTTCCCACGAATCGATTATCAACAGAAATTTTTCTTGGCAAACGTACGGGTGAATGAAAGATTTCAAAAATTCTTCCCAGATTTGTTTGGTAAACTTACCGGATTTTGTGCAGGTCACAATCACATTTTTAAAGTTATCGGTAAACTCGTCGACTTTTTTTTTAACAATCGGACCGAATTTTCCAGACGGTTCTTGCATGCACAAAAAAACGAAAGGAAATATCTTGCCGGATGCAGTTAATGCATACTGTGCCGTGTAGGAATGGCTTATTTTGTTTAAATCTTTCTTTCTTACAAGAACGGTTTTGAACCCCTGTTCCGCAAGCGAACTATTATACGTGGATTGGTATTGGCAGCCGGTTTGATCAGTATTGATAACATAATCAAGGTCGAAATTAGGGATGAGCTTTTTTGTTTACACCTGGAATATTTCAGCGGCTGCCAATACTTCCTCCATTGTGGCAAACTCTTTAGAGCTGATAAATTTGGTGATCTTGCGCTGTCTGATCCTATGATGTTTTTTAAATTGCTCAACCCAAGTTAAGCTAGCGGTGAAATGGAAGGAATCCGAAAAAATAGGAAACGCA